TACGGTGTTTGAAGATTTAAGGGCCGCCTTAAGGCAGGGTTAGGGTTAGGGCAACCGGACGTCCCAGAAGGTCAATTTTCGTGTCGTTCGAAAGGTAATAGCCCCAATAGTAAGGTCCGTAAACCGTCTGCACAAATCATGTTTGGTTTTGATTTATACGTGTTTGAAGATTTAAGGGCCGCCTTAAGGTAGGGTTAGGGTTAGGGCAACCGGACGTCCAAGAAGGTCAAGTTTGGTGTTGTTTGAAAGGTAATAGCCCCAATAGTAAGGTCCGTAAACCGTTTGCATGTATTATCTTTCGTTTTGGATTTATACGTGTTTAAAGATTTAAGGGCCGCCTTAAGGTAGGGTCAGGGTTAGGTCAACCGGACGTCCCAGAAGGTCAAGATTGGTGTCGTATGAAAGGTAATAGCCCCAATAGTAAGGTCCGTAAACCGTTTGCAAGTATCATCTTTGGTTTTGGATTTATACGTGTTTGAAGATTTAAGGGCCGCCTTAAGGTAGGGTTAGGGTTAGGGCAACCGGACGTCCCAGAAGGTGAAGTTTGGTGTCGTTTGAATGGTAATAGCCCCAATTGTAAGGTCCGTAAACCGTTTGCACGTATCATCTTTGGTTTTGGATTTATACGTGTTTGAAGATTTAAGGACCGCCTTAAGGTAGGGTTAGGGTTAGGGCAACCGGACGTCCCAGAAGGTCAAGTTTGGTGTCGTTTGAATGGTAATAGTGCCAATTGTAAGGTCCGTAAACCGTTTGCACGTATCGTGTTTTGTTTTGGATTTATACGTGTTTGAAGATTTAAGGACCGCCTTAAGGTAGGGTTAGGGTTAGAAACCGGACGTCCCAGAAGGTCAAGTTTGGTGTCGTTTGAAAGGTAGTTAACCCTCAACAGAACACCTTTACGGACTGATCAATCTGTACACCTGGGGTCCGCGCGGACCCCAAAGCAGTTTTTTGCTAATTTTTAGAAATTATCAACATGATACCAGCTCAATTTTTTTGCAAATTGATGTGTGAACCTCTGAGTCCACACCACGTACAAAAATCATACATTTTGACCTTTTCCTATTTTATGGCGAAGGAAAGACAAAAAGAAGAAAAATCCGATTTTTACACCTTATATTCAGACCGAGTGTTTTTTTTTTTTTTAGGCTCGCGCCAACTTTAATGTCAGATAGCGCCTGAACGGCTTAAGCTAGAGCCATCAAATTTGGTGACCTTTCCTAAAATGCATCTGGGAAAAAATTCATATTAGTTAAATACGTTAATGTATTTTTGTGTTGCCATGGAAACGGGTTTCTAACAGGCTAGTTTTTTTTTAAATCAGTAATTTTGGTTTAAACGTTAAATTTCAGGGATTTATATTCAATAACACTTCCTTTCTGACATTAATAACATCTTACATAATTAAAGATAAGTTAGATCATTTGATATTCATAGTATATGCTAATTTGATGACGTCATTGGTCAGAATCCAAGATGGCCGGACCACATTATTAGCTATGACGTCATAATTACACTAAAATTGTTAGAATTTTTCTATTAGTACACCATTCTCTGAAAATTTGGTGGCCATACGATAAGTGCATAAAAACATATTAAAACGGAAATAAAGTCATGTATAAGGACGCCAGTGTATCCATTACGATCGAAGGCCGACTGGGGTCCGCGCGGACCCCAAAAGAAAATCAGATATAAAAATTTTCAAAAAAGGGGGAAACTGAGTTTTCTGCACTGTATTGAGGGACAACTTTGTGGGTGACAATTAGCTGAAATTTCAGAAAAAAATCTTTACAAACAAGAAAAATATTAGAGCATATATGGTGCTGGGGTCCGCGCGGACCCCAAGTGTACTGTTTAGGGTCAATGAAAATTACATGCTGCCATCGAACATAAAATAATAAAATCTAAAGATATAATATGATATGAAATAAAATAAAAATATATAATTATACTACAATAACAAATGAATAAAAAATTAATAATAAATCTAAGCACAGGCAGAAATGGGGTCAAATTGAATACAACGAAGTCATTTGACGTAATGAATGGGAAAATTGGTGCATTCAACTAGCCTTCTGTGCTCTGAAAAGGATAGGGCTTTCATACCTTTGCTATGAAATGCAACATTTGTTGTTCAGAATTAATGAATTAAACAAAGATTATAAAGCTGTAATGAATCATTGGCCCTTCTGTTACTAGGTAGGTATATTTTCCATAGCAAGTTGTCACACAAACTTGAGAAGGATTTCAAGGCTAAGAAAATGAACGCCTGCTAATCACTAGTGATGCTTTACTTCCCACGAATGGCATGTTTTTCTAATTTGCATAGATTTGCATTTTTTGCATTTTGCAAATATGACACATTTCATAGTACATATTATTTCTATTATTTGACCTCTGATCCCCAATTCACTTTTTTTCTATGATTGATTCTGTTTCAAGTTTGTTATAATTTCAGTTTGATTTGTATGTTTTATTTATTATTATTGCTAAAGCAATTATTATTATTATTGTTGTTATTTCATGTTATGCTGCGGACTCCAGGAAGAATGGTATGGAGTTGACTTCAATACTAATGGAGATCTAAATAAACAAACAAACACAACAGGACGAAATTTAAAAAAAAACAGGCCAAGGCACCCCATGATAGCTGGAAATGTTATGATATGAGTCATGAAGTCAACCCAACAGGCTGATTTATAATTAAAGCAATAGATTTTGAACTCTTACTGAAACAAAGTTGCATTCTTACAGTAAAAAACTTTAAAAACTGGCAAGAAAAGGACTTTCTTCAACCATTGGGGCCAAAATATGTCTTTCAGTGAGCATTTTGAAACAGAAAAAAATGGACAGGGCGAATCCGAGAAACAACAAAATTAATTGAATTGGTGTGGCCTAACTGGACTATGACATTAGGCATTTTACATGTTTCCCCTTCTATAATTGCAACAGGACATACATTTTGTACATACACTCTACAATTTAATCATTCTTATACCGTGGTAACATTGTTACTAACCTGTCGTGTACACCGGATTCATATGCACTTTTTTGTGGTCTTGCGTTTGTGGCAGATTGTCATACCCATCTGCCCTTCTTCCAGAGAGTTGAGGGTCCTCATCAGTTGTTCCTCCTGGCCTCGGGGTAGAGGGGCCGGGTGGGGTGCTGCGAGTGTTCCGGTTCAGAGGCGTGTACTCGTGTGTGGCACCTGCATTTGTAGAATAAAGAACAACACGACTGGCAATGAAAACGGTGATTGCTGTTAGGGTTATTGTTTGCATGGCACTGCCATCATTTCATGATTTTGAGGAAGACTTGGTACCTGTTAAGTCTAGACAGATACAGTACACTCCTCCCCTGAGTGTATAGTGAACGAGCCCCGGGGTCACAGAAAGTACTAGTAGTGCCATCTGGGGCAGACAAGTCTTCAGGGTTCCAGGAATGTGGGCATAGATGTGGGTCAGAGAAATGCCTGTGGACATTCCGCATGCCTGTGGACAAAATGCCTGTACAATTCCTAGAATTCTTGCGAATTGCACACAATACTGTACCATTAGGCTCCTCCCTGAGACGTCGCCAAAAATGGTAACCTGACTGTTAGCCTTTACTGGTAGTGAATTTGTTGATGACTTAAATCTTGCAGAAAGCCGAAACATACAAACTCCGTCCACCATCCAAGCTGATCTTAACGACCTACACAACTGGGCAGTGTCACATAACATGAAATTACACCCCAAGAAATGCAGCGTACTATTGTATTCTTTACTAGAACTCCCCCTCCACTACCACCTCTGTCCATCGCAGGAGTACCACTGACCGAGGTCCACGTCGTGAAACTGCTCGGAATGTAATTGTTCAGGCTGACCTTGGCTGGAACACGCAGGTCAACAACATAGTAAAGAAAGCCATGCTTCGTAAACTGACACAGTTCAACCTCTCTCGCTCCGAGCTCTTCACCTCCAGTTACAAGACTTTCGTCCGTCCTACTGTCGAGTACGCTGCACCGGCTTGGCACGCAGGTTTAACTACACAACAACGCACAAGGATTGAAACTATTCAAAAACGGGCCTGCCGGACAATCCTTGGCTCCGATTATACAAGCTACACTGAGGCCTGCTGGGCACTTGACTTACCAACCCTTGACAATCGCCGCCGCGACTGTGTTATAAGTTTGCCAGGCAACTTTGACATCTGTAAAATTCAGAAACTGGCTCCCACCTCTCCGTGGCGAGGTTAGCGGCAGACAAACGAGAACTTCTCAGCTCATTGACACTATCACAACTAGGACTGACAGATAAAAAAAAACCCATCCCTTACATGGTAAGTTATCCGTTCACAAATATGTAATTGCACCACTGACCACTGACCAAGTACCACTGACCGCTACTTTATTGTGACACAGGAATGAAAGCGGATGAAAGCGGATGAAAGTTAAAAAGGCTGACACTAAAAATGGTATACAATGAAATCATTCAATATCACCATGCTACTTAGTAAGATTAGAACTAACCTGCCGCGTACACCTGATTCCTATGTACGTGTTTGTGGTCTTGCCTCTGTGGCAGGTTGTCGTACCCATCTGCCCTTCTACCGGAGAGCTGAGGCGGTCGCCCCAGAGACCGTCCGGATCCGAAGCGACGGGGCGGTGGACTCGGAGGCTGTTCGGAGCGGTGAGGCGGCACCTCCGGAGCCTGCTCTGCGAGATCTGGAGGAGACGAGGAGCCAGTTTCTCCCCTCCCCACGTCGTCAAGAGGAAGTGGAGGCAGCGGTCGGTCCCGTATCCCTTCCAGACGCCTGGACTTTCGCGGGGCAGCCATGCTTGCAGGCGCCCCGCCGGTTTTAGCTGAACCGTCACACGGAGTAGCTGCCATCTCGTGCCGCACCCAAACTGATTCTGATCGAGACGTCGACTTGAAAACGTCGATTACACTTTAATTGTCTGAGATTTGGTATTTTACAACGTCATGTAACACTCACCCATAAGACGTTGGAATTTTCTCATTGAAAGTGAACTAGGAGAGCTCCGTGCATATGCAACAGCTCCGCACCAACTTTGTGTTGTGTTGCACAATGCAGGCTGGAGCAAAGATACTGGTAGCGTAAAATGTGAGGGTTATTTTATCAGTTTACCTACCAATATTTTGTTTCAATATTTTTGGAGGGACGTTGGGGTGTGGGCTTTCTATGGTGCTGCAGCGAAAGCGAATATAATGTACAGCCAGTTCATATAAGCAGTTTTACATTCGTTCTGAAAGTTAATAATATTATGTATTTCGACAAATTAAAGAGCCATCCTGACACACATGCTTTTATTTATATATAATATATAAGAAATATAAAAAATCAGCAATAAAACTATGCTAATATCATAGTTTTACTGCTGATTTATATATATATATATATATATATATATATATATATATATATATATATATAAGTTATCTTTTAAACTGTTATGTTAACAAATATGAGAAACTGTGAAGAAACAGATTAACAATTAAATATAATTATATTTAACGTTTAAACTCAGTACTTCTTTTATAAGTGGTGAATATAATACAGTAAAAAAGACTTTTGTTGGAAAATTAGATTTAATTTAATTTTTATTTGTTATTAGAAAAAATACTGAAATTCATGATTATCCCTACTTCATTCTAACACATATTACCTAATACATGCTGAGCCAGTTTGTTACCTTCGCCAAGAAGGTTATGTTTTCAGTAGCGTTTGTGTGTTTGTGTGTGTGTGTGTGTGTGTGTGTGTGTGTGTGTGTGTGTGTGTGGTTTAGCAAGATAACTCGAGAAGCAGTGGATGGATTGGAATGAAACTTGGTAGGTGGGTTAGTCTTGATGAGAGCTAGAAATGATTAGATTTTGGGCCCCCTGGCGGCTTTTCTAGGTACTACAGCTGAACTTCCGGCTTTGATATCTCATGTTCTGGACATGTTAGGGTCACGAATTTTGGTTGGTAGATTAGCTCTTGGATAGGGAAGAAGTGACATGAGTTTGGGTCCCCCTAGCGCATTGTTCTGGAACTGCATGAGCATTTGTTGAAAAAAATTAAAGGACGATAACTCAAGAACCGGTTGACGTATTGTCGTGATTTTGGTATGTAGGTAGTTGAAGTAATGCTTGACATAATCAGATGGCAATTATGCAAATCAGGAGCTAATTTGCATAATCAATGAGGAAATTCCATAAATCTGCTTTGTTCGATAATAGAACTATGAAACACTTGTGACATCTACTTGAGAACGAAGAAAAACATACTGAGGATATAGATTAT